AAGGTTTCGAAGTGCCTGAAACAAAGGCAGTAAAAGTTAAGCAAGATCAAGATTATTGGCACTCAATGGCAGTGAAGAGATTGCAGCTCTGCTCCCAGCTGCAGAGGATTTGCTCTGGCCAGCCTGTTACTCATGGTCCAGTTTCTACAGTTATGAGCACCTGGCAAGAGATCAGTCTGCAAATGCTTTTGCATAGTAATTTGAAAATATAACAGTATGAGATGRTTAACTTGTAACTGGTGCAGGTTAGCAGCAACCAAAGAGGAGTCTCCTCTGAGAGCTGACTGGTCTGTCCGTCAAAAATACCCACCACAAAGAACCCATCTCTGCCACCAGCCTTGGCAGGAGGACTCTGTAAGTTAATGACTGAGTTTGCCTCTCTGCCTCAGATATGTCCCTGCTTCTCTATTTAGGATGCCTTGAACTACAGGTCAACGAGTTTGAAGTTTGTACAGCTGCTCCTACATTTTGTCTATCTGACATTAGAATAATCCTCATTAAGAAAACTTGCAGARGTTTCAAACAAAGAAATGACAGAGAAGAGAACAAGATGAACTATTTCAAGATTTTCTTCTGTTCTTTTCTATTTGACCTAGGGTCTTTTAATTTCTGTTTAGATTCCCAGATAACACTAATGAGTGTTTTATAAGTATCTCAGTAAATTAATTCTTGTTCAAGAATGATGGAAACATTTCTCTCTAAAAGTGTCCTCTTGAAAGGAGAGGGCCATAAATCCAGACTCATTTAATGTTGACAGGGCTGTATTATATCACCATCCYCTGCAAGTTCTTTAAGAAGGAGACTTGCTGCAAAGAGAGACATGAACAAGAGCTCAAGTCAGGAAAGTGTCACCTGGTGACGTTTGAGCTCCAAACACTTGTTAACGAACCGTCTCTATTTTTCTGGCATCCTTTCATTTGGCACTTCACTGGATTAAATCAGTATCATACTATGTTGATAACCATGTGTTTATGCTACAGTTGTGTCTTGTGTCCAGTTTCATACTATTCTCATGCAACTCTAGATTATCTTGCTGCTAATGCTTGTTGTATATGATCTATGGATAAGCAAAAGATTTCTGTCATAAGGGTTATCAGTTGACAGCCTTTTGATCAGAAAAAGCCCCTAAGCTTATTTATGTATTTTTAAGGATGTGGTTTGTAAACATGCATGGAAATTTGAACCCATGACAACATTGTGTCCTGATTCAAAATATTCAATCGATAGTTGAGGCTAGGCAAAAGTCTCCAAAGTAAACTATGTATTCTAGAAAAAGAAACGTTTCTTAAATGGAAGGGTTTGCAGAATCTGAAGATGTGCTTCTGCAGTCTTTTCATGGCTATTTTTCAAAAGAAGCATAATGGAGAACCATAAAAAGTTAATCTCACCTGAAAAAAATCTACTTTCCTGTAAAATTTCCTATTATTTTTTTCCTTGCATRACTCCACACCATCACTCTTATCTTGAAAAAAAAACCTATAAACATATCTTTTTGGTTTTTACAGAATTGACTTTTCATATGATAAATTAATCATATAAGAATATGGCTCAGAGCAGATACACATTTTACACTTTCAATAGGCATCTCTTTGTAAAGTTATAGCCAAACATCTGTACATTTTGAAGGAACTGCTATACTAATATGATATAAAATATAAAGAATTACAAATCACATATATGTAAAACATCATCCCCACTCCCCTTGGCTCTCTTCCAGCCCTTCCCCAGCCCAGCAAGTACCAGAGTGACTTCACCATCGTCATTTTGGAATGCTTGTTCAGTTGTTATTCATGTGATAGTAAGCAGAGCAAGATGAAACAGCTGGTCTGTAACCAACGACACGACAAAAGTTATGTCTGGCATTAGTCTGAACGAGATAAGGGGGTTTTGTTCTGTTTTGTTTTATTAAGAATGAGTCACCRTATACTTACGCATTTGAAACACTTTACCTGAACACTTTGCCATTCTACCAGGAAAATTCCTGCCCGGCAGCTCACTTAGCACAGCTTGAAAGTTTCAGCCTATATCTCAGTCCTAAAACCAGTTATTCTCCAAGTACCCAGGCCTCTGAGCTGGAAGACATGGATGGGGAGCAGAATGACATCCCATAACCCAAGGGGAAATRCCCAGTGAGCTGCTTTGCCACTCAGACACACACACAGGTCTATGGGACCAGGTGGGATCCACCCAAGGGTGCTGAGGGAGCTGTCAGAAGAGCTCCCTGAGACACTGCCCATCAGTGACCTGCAGTCCTGGTTCACTGGGGAGCACCAGGGGACTGGAACCTGGCAAACGTGGCACCATCTACAAGGACCAGAGGAGGATCTGGGAGCAACAGGCCTGTCATCCTGCCCGTGGTGCTGGGGAAGGTCATGGAGCCCATCATCCTGAGGGCCATTATGAAACATGTACAGAACAASCACGAGATTGGGCCCAGCCAGCACACGCGTGTGAAAGGCAGGTCCTGCTTAATCATCCTCATCTCCTTCTGTGACAGTGACCTGCTTAGTGGATGAAAGAGCATCTGTGGATGTCATCTACATCTTTAATAGAGCTTTTGACACTGCTTCCTACAGCATTCTCATGGGTGTACTCGTGGCTAAGTGAAACGCTGTCTGGGTGTTGGTACAAATTTTGCAAAGCAGGAACAACTTGGTTTTGCACTACTTTTTACCCAAATCTCTAGATCAGCTGTGTGCTTTGAGTAATTTCCTGAGGCAAAATTTCACTTTAAAATGGAGACTACAGGTAATCACATGTTTCTGGGTTAGGTTTTTTTTTGTTGGTTTTTTGTTTTTTTTTTTAATACAGTCACATGAGAATTTGTAAATGTGATTACTGATTGGGTCATTTTTGACTCTTCATGGTAAGCTTCCTTAGAAAGTGCTGGCTTTCAAAGCACTGATATCCAATACCTCCTGGCAGAACCACTTTACGATGATTGAAATGGCATCTCAAGAACTGAGGCACCTTTATTCACAGTTCATTTCTGAAAGTGGGTATGAAGCAAATATAAAGGAGCATATGTGTGTAAAACTACAGTAATTYGATCAATACAGTGCTGCAACAGGTAGAGTAACTCTAGATGCATTCCTCTAACTGGAAACTGCATGGCTAGCTGAAAGATTTCTATGAGTTTGAGGAAAGAGAATTTATCTGAAAAGAGGACACAGATATCAGCAACAGAAAAATACCTACAGGACATCATGGACATATCCCTTTCCAGTCATGAACTTACTTCACAGGAGCATCACTATTGATATCACACTTCTGTTTCAAATTACTTTGGTTTTAAGAACATATGATAACGTTTACTTTAAGATTGTTTCTCTTCACTGTAGCTTTAGTTCGTTTGCTTAATTAAAACAGAATGAGTCCATAGCTTCACATGTAAGCAAGGCGGTGCACCTGATAAATCCAGACAGGAAGAGAGGAAAACTCTACTAAGCAGACCATAATTTTAAAGGCTTTAACACAATTTTTCATACACTTGTGATCTATTACTTCTCAAACAAAACCAGGAAAAACTGTATGTAATATCTGAATGTTCTTTGGGAAAACTTCTCCCTTTTTCACTACCAGAAGAATGTTCTTAATCCATTTTAGCTGACTTAGTGCATCATGAAGTAGCACAAAGCCCAGTTTCTGCCCTTTACCCTCTGCCAACTCCACTTCTCATGTAAATCCAAAGTGATCCAGAAAATTTATGAACACCTTTGTACTCTTCAAAACTTAGTATTTTTGTAGAAAAGGAGAACTCATTATAGACCAGAATAAGAAATAGTATGTAAGAAAATTTCTAAGACCAGCAGCAGTAAGAGTATATTTCGASGGATAGTCTTCAGAAGTGAATACAGAAGATGCCTTTTCTACCCACATTTTAGACATTTAACCTTCTACCTCAGTCCAGAGGACCACTGCTGCTTCATAGTGCCCATTACTTGAAGAAATAGGAGTGATACCATTTTATAAATAAATAAACCAGAATGGCTTCTTTTCCTCTAGAGCTAAAGACTGCAGTCTAAAAGTGAGAAACCTTGTGTTGTGGCAGTAAACCCAGGAGGACCAATTTGTACACACACATGGGTAGTAATGGTATAGGAGAAAGATGGTACAAATATTGTGCAGCAATTTTTCTTGATAGTCTTCTACTTTACCTGGCAGAAAATCAGTAACATTTAGACTAAGGGTCACAGCCTTTGGAAAGAGTTACATCAATGTAAAAACACAACAGACAAAGCCAAAAGAGATTATAACCACAAAATATCCCAAGGGACAGATGAAATCATGCATTACGATGTTCTTAAAAACAAAAAAAAAAAAGTCATTCCCTCAATCATACCCCAAATGTCTTGTCTCCTAGTTTTTCACAGTTTTTAAAATTAAAATGTGAAGATTGCAGTAAAAGATGCTACTATATTTCACTCAAAAGCATAAATTSTCTCAGTGAAAAGGGTAACTGTTCTCCTGCTTGCAGGCATACTTCTGGAAAATTCGTACCATCCTTCCTGCTCAAAGTTAAGCTTGCTGGTACAGGCAGCAAGCTTCTACTCACAAACAGCAGTGACAGAAAATAGAGTGCTCCCTGTCCTAACAGTCACAACTGATATCGGGCACAAAGAGGGGACAGTGGGACAGCAAAACAGTCACAGCAGTGAAAAGACGAGGTTTCTACTCCTGCCCGACAATTCCTGTGCCGGAAAGCACTCTAATGATTAGCCTTCATCTCCACAATGTAGAACACACTAAAGGCTCAATAAACTTGCATGTCTGCACCAACGTGACACAGAAAAGCCCATCCTAACACAGGGAGGCACGGGAGCGCTGGTCATCCCTTAAACACAAACTGACTGATCCCCACACCAAATAAGCAACTGGGCTCTTGAGTGCCAAGTTGTCAACACATGTAGCATAACCAGAGAGCCTGAAAGACACAGCCCATCTGACCAAGCACTGCTGGTGTAGCTTCATCAAAATTCTCTTTGTTGTTAAGTTCTCACCTGTCTTGTTGGCAAGGCATGATACTGGAGTATGAGCCTGGTGTTGACACTGTGACTCCACGTGTTGCCAAGGGCTGCTGTCACACAACCAGAATCCTTCCTCCCACTTACAGACGATCCTGAAGATAAGTATGACACAAACTGCGTCAGGACTGTGGCACAGAAAAGGCTTCAGCATTGAAACTTCATCAGTCACCTCAGGTTATTCCTTAAATTAGACAATTACAAATGGCACTTGAAAGATAGCACTGCTGCATTAATTTCYGACCTTTCTGATGTATTTACACAACTGTAGTGGGAATTCTCCATCTTGCCCTCTGACACCAACAAAAAGCACCAAGAATTAAGGAAATGTTGCAAAGTATTACCTATCTTCTTRGAGAGACCAGCATATTTTGTAAATGTCGAGTGGTGCACCATGCATGTGCACTTGCCCATTCCTCCTTAGATACTTTACCCCCACGCAAAGCAGCTTTCTCTTGGTATGAAGGAGAGGGAAGCCAGCAGAGTCACAATGTATAATGACAAAACAAAAAGGGAATCYAAAGGAGCAGAATGTGCTACCACAATACCCTGACCTAAAAACTGATATACTGACCTAAAAACAGAATACTGATTCATGCTATCAGACACACACACTTTTTCTAAGCTTTGCAAAGAAGAGAGCCTTTTAGCTGTAATTACCATTCTGCTATCTCTGAGATAATTTGAACTTTATGCAACCCTGAATAAAAATGGACTTTGCTGGAATCTGCAATGACGACATGAAGAAGTGTTTCCAATAATGCCATATGATGCAGGCTTGCTTAACTGACATTGCACCCGAGCTTTCTCAGACTGAAAACAGAGATGCAAACATGCACACGAACACACATGCAGGCAGGTTGGTGCCTGAGACTTTMATCTCTACTTATGCTAAGTTCTGTGTAAGGTGAACAGATTGGTGGGCTCAAGCCAATGGTTTGACAAGAGTCTGGACTCTGTACTTGTCTGAATTCCCACATCACAGGAGCTCACTGTGACAATACCTGCTTCTCCAGAACTCCTGTTCTAGTCTGAAAACAGGCTACAGTTGTGCCTTCCAGCAAGGATGGCTGCTTTTCTTTACTTAAAAAAAAATCTTGATAAGCAGCAAACTTCCACCTGAATAAGTCACCAGAGGAGCATCTAACTGGAACCTTCAGTACTAGGAATGCAATTCTGTTAATTAGTCTAGCCCATCTCTGTTGGGAAGGTGGATGTGCTAACAAGAATAATTTATCTTCATGTTTTGTTTTGGATTTAATTTTCCAGCTGGACGAGGGAACTAACCCAAGTGTTAAAATGGGGTACATKAGGTCTGTGTTCCATTCCCTTAAAATGACTCAAAGCAAGTTACTTAATTAAGTTCATGAAGTTTGACAAATTTTTTTGGGTTTGTGCTAACACCAGAGAAGTAAAACGTTATTACTGTACAGACAGGATAATAGAGAATATGAGACATTGAAGCAGCTTTAAAGTTTTGCAAACCTTTCATGTGGAATAAACTGCAGTCAACACAGTCCTTCTTTCCCTGCCCTGTTAAAAATGGGTAAGAATCACAARATTCAAATGAGGCAACTAAGTGTGAGTTTTGGTAGCTATGGAGGTGTTCCCCTCACAGCTGACGTAACTGTACCCCTGCATGCAGCTGGGAGCCAGCATTCCACACCACCAAGAAGCAATTCACCCACCCCTGCTTGCAGGCCCCTCACTACCAAAGGCACACACATTCCAGAAGTAGCTAGTGGCGGCATAAAACAGCCACAAAACTCACCCCCAAAGTTCCCTCAAATCATATCTCTGCTATTAGGTAACAGAAGGAGTAACATCTCACTGTTGCAATCCTGAGCCAGGCATTTAAGTGTTTAAATGTCTGGAACCTGCTGCTATTTCACTATGGAGATATCACTCCATAGCAATTCCTAATTCTGCATTCCTTCAGGCCTAAAACCTGTCCCAAAGTGAACAGAAATGCTGTATGTGTAAGGTTTGTGGCAGAACAAGCTCATTGCTGTATTTTATTTTCTCGTACAAGAGAAAACATGCTGTACCATACTGTCAGCCCCTATCTGAAGAGGGCAAATCCTCTTCTGAGAAGTTATTAAAATTTATGATCTTGGTGCAAAGTAGTTCGTAAACCTGGAGCAAATTTACGGCAAAGACTTTTTACAGGGCGGAAAGGAATGCCTCACTGGAAAGGTTTCCATTTTCTAAGGGATCCTCCTGAGAACTGATGYGTTAGGCAGATAGAGAGGTAAAACAAGAAGCGAAGCAAGCAGAGGAGGAAGCAGTGCCAGCTTTGCAAAGAAGTTCAAGGGCAGTGACAACACATGCTGGCTGCATTCCTTCTTCTTGCTCTAAACACAAAAAGATAGTAAATGTCTCAGAGGAAGGAAAGAAGATATGTTAAGAAAACAGATTTMTGTTGAAACATGGCCTTAAAAAAAACCTTGGACTTATCTTTTCTGTTATTTCAACCACTACTTAGACATTAATGAACYGGACAAAAGAAGTGGATAAATAATACCGTTCAGAGATTTTTTTTTTTCAGCATGCTTTGCCTTGTGCTTCYAAATCCTGATATTTTCATACTTAGAGATAGGAGTATCACACCAACAATGGCCCAAGAAGAAAAAAGGCTCATAAGACTTTGGTCTCCGCTCAGAGGCCCCCAAACTCTCCAACTTGAACCACTTCAGAGTGGTATGAASTGCTTACCCATGCCATGGGGTGGATGCTTCCACAGCACCTGCAATGTGCAGGCAGCTGATGGGCAGCAGTTCCAGTCTCTCCAGTCTTTTTAAAGCACAATTCTTACTCCAGTCACTGCTGGCATGATGGTTTYTGTTCAAGACACAGGTGACACAGGGAGTGCAGGGATTAGGGAACGTAAGAAAACAGAGCTGACATACASATGTCATAGCTGAAAGGTGACAGATCTCAGTATATGGATGCAGTAAAGGAATGGGTGTCCAGAAGCACAGAGATGGGATCCTGGCATTGGGAGGTGAAGGTGAATGCCAGAAGGCTGGGAGAAGATGCCTGAACAACTCCCTGCTTTCTGTATCACGTCCACCTCTAGTGAAACAGGTAATTTCAATTCCTGTGAACACTCCCTCCTTCCTCAMACAGAAAGAAATAGCATTCTTCTTCAAATGGCACATCAGGCCAAGGACTGCATGAGATGTCTGTTCTACTGTGTCTGTGACACTGAACGTTTCAGAGCATGAGCAGAGATACCAGCAGAGACCGTATCTGCTCTGGGCTGCAGGCACAGGAGGAACTGGCTGCTTCACTCTCACTGAACAGCTGCCACAAGTGAAAATAAAGCTGCTTGTGGTCTGARTCAAATGCAAAGGAAATGCCTCTCYTCAGCCAGGGGYAAAACAGAGTAGAAAGGGCGAGTCTTCAGCTGCAGCCCCCAGTGCTCCTTCCAAGCACAAGAGGTTTGCTGCAGGCTCCAGGGCCCAGGAAGGAGCTGCCAGSAGAGCTGGGCCACAGCACTTGGCCCTACCTATACATGAGAACTACATTWTCTTTGCTTGTTTCTCCTATCAATGCAATCAAAACAAACTTTCTATAAGTAACTCCCCTGTTACTGAGAGCAAYGACACATATAGGCAGGATTTTTCCATTTTTCACTGGAGGGAAMAGCAGGAGTAWAGCTATTCAGCTAAATACTGCTTCYGGATTAYTYTATCATGTCCAAGCAGAGGACACTGCAAGTACATACCTAGTCTCAAAGACCTTCTTGTCCTCTCATACAAAAAGGTATATTTTAGAGACTAAATCCTCATGTAACCAAGTCCCAATTGTCGCAAATTTATTGGATGGCAATTTATTCATAAAGGCACTTCAGTTTCATTAGTTTCTTATCCTATGAAAATGTGGATAACTAGACCAATATCTTGAATCAAATGAAACAAAACAATTTTTTTAAATGCAAGAGGTCCTAGAAGGCAGAATGTGACTACACTCTTGATTAAAAAACCCCAACCTGTTCCTTGTTGGTATAACTGCACAGGGCAATTAGTTCYACCTTGTCTACATTCTCACATACAGATTTTTTTTCTTTCCAGATGGAAGTGTCATTGCCTGGCAGGTTCATCCCCAACACTGGGCCTCTTTTCAATCTCTATAAATTGGTAATTTAAAAATATTTTCTCATCAAATGTTAAAAATGGATCGATGCGCTAAATGACAGTGAAATTGCAAAACAGTGAAGCAAAAAGTCCCCAAATCTTTCAAACCTTATCATCAACCCATCTTAATAAAAGCCTGATCTATCAAAAAGAAGGMAAAAACTCTCTCAAAGTACAAAGAAAATATTTATAAAGAATTAAACTACTGAGCTCAACAAAAACAGCACACCATGCAATAAGAATGAAAGTACTTTCCCTCTCGCTCAGGCTGTGCAGCTTTCCGGTTCACTGCCAGAGCTCAAAGACCACTACTTTTCACCTGCATTGCATTTAGTCTCTGTTTTTGGTGYAAATCTCTAACAATGAGACCAGAAGAAAAAGAAGAAAAAAAATCCCTTCAAGCCCTAATCTATTTTTCCATYGTCACCTACTCAGAAAGTACAAGTATAAAAATATGCAGTGGTGGAAAAACCCATCACACACTAAAAAACAACCCACAGGACAAACTCATCTGTGAAGTAACTAACCACAGCACCCTCCAAACACCCACTGCTGGCTTCTGCCATTTTCAGCCCTTCTCCACAGCTTTTTCTTAAGTCAGATGGTGATTCTGATTCTCTTACCCTACAGTGGTGCCCATCTCTCTCTCTCTGCACTGATCAGCCAAGGGATATCTTAAAGCACACTGTTGGCTTCATACAGTCTTTTATTATTTAGGACATATGGCAGGAAAACAGTTGCTGCTGTAAAAAATCAAGCTCGGCCACAAAACTAGTCATGTGAAAATTCTAACTTCTAAAATGCTTATYCTCCTCCTTTTATTATGAGAGGGAATCTGGCAGTTTTACTTCTAAAAACCTCATATTTCTAATCTGTACAAACTACACACACACACTCGACCACCTCCCCAGACTACTCCATTTTACTTCAAATTTTAATTAAAATTAAGTATAAAT